ATTTAATTGGGTTTATTTTTTATGCCATATAATACAATCATTCATATAACTMTTATTTCTTTCTTTTATAATATTTATTACAAGTAATGTATACTTGATATTATGTGTAAAATGTGCGTTGAACATTTGTATAGTTCAAAATATAATAGTTTATGAACCTTATAATATTTTTATATCGATAAATATTGTTTTAGCAGTACATTCTTAAATGAATTTGATGAAATATTAGTTAATAACATTATTTTTATTCCATCTAACACCTGATAAGTCWTAACATCAATTTTGAAATGTATTTGTAAATTTATAGTCATTAATAACAATTAATTTATTTATCTACATACAAGTTCGGGAATCGATATTTAAAAAATTTGAATACGATTGTATGAATAATACAATTAATACAATTTTTGTTTAAAACATATTRGACTGTTTTCTTTTCGGTTGGTGGGTTGTATCAACTTTATCAAGAGGAAATATTTTTGATTAGAGTGTGTTTCAATGATGTACTTTTTATCGAATTATACATAGATTAATTATATGTATCATATAGCATTGGTTATCGATTAAAGGATATTGACTTTAAAGATAGTACGGCAATATTTGTATTTGAATTCTTGGTTACTCCCTAAATTTGTATTCCATAAGATTACTAAAAGCCTAARGAAAATTAGGTAAAAGATAATATTTTTATTTTTGGATAAATAGTTAATATTTTAATAGGGAATGTAATTGATGAAGTCTATTCTTTAGATTTTATTTCAATTTCAGTGTTAATTGTTACCTGTAGATCATAGATAGAATAGAAGAAATAGGTATTCTTATTATACATCTTGTACTCTTAATAAAAATTTAGCCTTAGATTATTTGGATATTATAATTTCTAAGCTAGTAAAAGGTAACACAGAAAAGAACTATGTTAGCATTGTGCAAGTCTATAGCCAAATGGTGTAATATCAATTATAAGAATAATATTGTAATAGTTTTTGGCAGATAATCTCAATGGAAGTGTTGCTGTTAAATTACAATAGTTTGAATATATCTTAAAGTGCCATGTACCAAGAACATAGGGTAGACTTCTAGATAGCAACAATGTTAGATCATAACAATATAATTAAACATAATGTACGTTAAGCATTAAATTAAATACTATGGTATTGTGATTCGTCAATCATAAATCATTTAATTAATTCAATTCATTWTAGAGAACAGAAATCATTCCTTAGAATTTAGATCATATACTATTATATTAGATATTATATTACAAAAATGATTTAATGATCTAAATTCTAAGGTCCTTAGGATTATTGAGATTCGAGATAGGAAAAAGGGATGAGATATTGAGAATTGAGATCGTTCTAATTCTGAAYATCTGAATTCAGGTTCTATTAATTTTGATGAGAAATTTCTGACATACAATGTAAGCACCGGATAAGTGACCATAGATAATAATATATACATTATATTATCTATGTAAGTGACAAGAGTAGGCTATTGGTAAGTACCCAAGACACGGTCGTAAGCAACCTCAAAACAATTGATAAACCTTTAAAACATTTTAGGTTATGAATCTAACTGATATGGTTATAATTTTCAATTTTGTTTTTTGGTAGTTTTTTTTTAAAGTAATAAATTGATTTATAATTTACTGCTTACTGCTTATTCAGGCCATAAATTTTATATTTTATAAAACAGTTATTTCGGTTAAGAAGTAATATAACAAACCGAGAAAAATTTTCTATAGTTAGATTTYTAGATTTTTTTTCGTGAATACCTTTTACCTACGGTGGGAAAATGGAAATGAATAGAAATGAAATTATATCGTTGGTTATACGTATGACTTTGTTGTCAACGTGTGCTTATTTTGGTACTAAATGGTTGATCGGAAAGATTGACCCAACCAATCAGCAAAAAAAACGATCCAAGGAGACCGTGAGTTAGAATTATCTTAATGTATAAGATTGACATGTGTTTATTTTTGTATTTTTTAGGCACTTAAAAAACTCAGAAGCTTGGGTCTTCATAAAATGAAAAATGTAAGTTGATTCATTGAATCAGGTATACAATTATTCTGATGAATTTATTTTTTATTACAGTTAACTGACCACGAGCTGATGATTGCTAGTCACTTGGTYAACCCATATGATATCACTGTTTCGTGGAATAACATTGCTGGACTTAGTCAAGTAATAGATGAAATCAAAGAGACAGTGATATTTCCGGTGCAAAGAAAAGAACTGCTTAGGAATTCTGTCTTAACGAAACCTCCGAAAGGTATATTTTCAATTGAATCKGTACCTATTTTATTAGTTAAATTTTTAATTTCCTTACAATTTATTTTTAGGTGTTTTGCTTCATGGACCTCCTGGTTGTGGAAAGACAATGATTGCCAAAGCAACCGCTAGAGAAGCGGGTATGAATTTTTTATATCTAGATGTGTCATTACTCACTGACAAATGGTATGGTGAAAGTCAAAAATTAGCTGGTGCTGTTTTCAGTTTGGCTCAAAAGCTTCAACCATGCATAATATTTATTGATGAAATTGGTAATTTGATTATTTTATTAATTATATATTATAAGATACCAATAAAATGCATTACAAACAAAATTAGGTACTAACAATTAAGCTTTTATTTATAAGTCTTGACTTGAGACATTTAAATTRTAACCACTTTTAAACAGTTTTTATAATTGATTTAAGAACACTTCTTTGAAAGTATTTWAAAAAATGATACTATTGTAAGAAATATGCTGCTAGCACTTAATATTTGACTTCTGTGATATGTTTATTATTTGTTATGATTATTAAATATTATTGATCAGCATAATATAAAAGGCCTAAGTACTGTTAGTCCGTATTCAATAAGCCTGGAAAGCAGCAGGCTGTTTGGAAAAATAATAAGTAGGTAGTTCGCAARTGAGCTATGATACCCCTTGGAACCGTGCCATTCAGTTTCAATACACTTGGTCTATACCAATTACATAAATATTTTATAATTTCCGTTTTAAATAAATATTTAATATTTTTTATTAAAAATCTGCTCTCATTGTAAAAGCTATACAATTATGATAAAAAGACAAAACATTTTTATAAATAATTATATTATCAATTATAATTATAGGTAATTGTTATAAATTGTAAAACATTGTAAAAATACTTAGTGTATTGACACAATTAAATTTAAAAAAAACAAAAATTTTTTAGTTCTTTTTCAAGGGATAATTTTGTTTTCAGTATATTGATTATATCACTTACATTTCAGATTCTTTTTTGAGATCTAGAACACARCATGATCATGAAGCAACAGCTATGATGAAAGCTCAGTTTATGATGCTATGGGATGGTTTATCTACTGATCCAGAAAATACTGTGATAGTAATGGGTGCCACAAATAGACCTAAAGACCTAGATCCTGCCATTCTGAGAAGAATGCCAGCTACGTTTGAAATATCATTACCGGTAAAAATTTATGCTTCTTAAAGCAATCAAACCCAAACTAAAATATGGAATAGATGTTTTTCAAAAATAACACTTCTGTCAAATTTATTATTTAAATATTTTAGGATTAGAAAAGACTACAATTATTATTTAAATAAAACTTGCTAATATTAAATTATTTATAGCTAGCTGCTCAAACTTTTTGATGAATCGCATTATTTAAATATAACTCCTTTGAGCCGCCTCTGTTTACAGCAATCAATTTTTATTTGAACTTAAAATTATAATTTTTATAGAAACTAAGWAAATATAAGTGTCATAAACCAACATATTTGATGTAATGGAATTCAAATTATTTTCATTTTTAATACATTTTGATAATAAGTTTCTAAAAAATTATATCATTAAATATGTATTAATAACTAAATTTGCACTATGTTATAATAGTTGTTTGTTGTTATCTTTTGGTGAAAGCATAATGTAAAAAAGCAGTGGTCTAAATTATAAAATAAATGTTAACCAACTAGGAAATGTGATTATATCACCCTTAAAGAGAAAGTATTGTTTTGTTGTATAATATTACCTTAATCAATTTATGATTAAAATTGTATTATTAATTTTTAGGGTGAACAACAAAGAAAAGAAATACTAGCTTTAGTTTTGAATACTGAACAATGTGCCAATGATGTAGATCTACATCAGTTAGCCATTACTACAGCCGGTTTTTCTGGCTCTGACCTTCAAGAATTGTGTCGTATCGCATCATTATTCCGCATCAAAGACTTGATTAAAGAAGAGGAACTCAAAAAATGGTAAACATAAATTGTTTTTAATCAGTTTTTTATTTTAGTAAATCCATAATAAATTTWAAAAATTGMTTTTTTTCTTTAGTTCTTTTAACTCTAATCCAATCAATGCAAGCAGTATTAATATGTTGAGGCCTATCAGTATGGAAGATTTGAATGCATCTGTGATCAAGATGAAAGCATCCAAAGTAGTTAGTACCACTCAACCTAGGTTTTAATGAGTAATATGATGCAATATTTGATAGTCTGGTAGTGAATGATCAATTTTAATGTTTTTTCATMCTTAATTTAGTGGTAATAGTGTGAATATTGTCATACTAACGGATGTTTAGTCCTAGTTCCGTGTAAGCTCAAATTGTATTTATTTCTCCTCAGGAGAATATACATTGCTTTTGGATTAAATTGTTATTTCTACTACTT